AAAAACATGAAACTCGAAAATTTCTCACTTAAATTTAAAAAATAAATTTAAAGTAAGATACGACGCCGAGATCCGAACATGCATTCGACTAGCGATAGGAAGATTTCAAGTGCTAAGTAAGATGCTAAGAAACGGTAAAAATTTGATATAAACAAGGAAAAGAGTACTGGATTGTTATGTGTTATACATCGTCTTATATAGCAGTGGATGAGGAAAAAAAAACAAACTAGAGGTAGCAAATATATGGTACTGCAGAAGGATACTGACAATTCCAAGGCAACAAGCCTCTAGAAGGAAGTCTTAAATTAAATGGTAACAGTAAGAACACTTCCTGACAGCTGAAATTCCTTGGGCGCATAATGAGGAAAGAGGGCTTGGAAAACTTAATCCTCACAGGACATAATGCCAAAAAAAAAATATCAGAAGGATGTGAGCCACTCTTAAGAAGCTTGTGGATGATGCAACTAAGGACAGAAGCTTTATTAAAGGAAGAAGAACTGGTTAGGCTCCAAAGGATAGGAAGTTGTGAAGAGCCTTGTCCTGAAGGGACGTTGCACATAGAAGGAGAATTTTATTCCTTATTCATTATTTGTAATTATTATCATCAACTATTGTTTACTTTTTGGCTGTTATATATGTCATTTCTGACTATCTTCAAGTGCCCATTGTTTAGGCAAATATGAGATATTTTTTAAGTTAGTTCACCCCAACTAAGGCAATAAAGCCACTAAGACACAAAAGGTGGAAGAATTAGGAAACAGAAACATTACTAAGGAGTGAGAAGAGGAAGTGTAATCAGACGGACAGCAGCCAGTGATTGATATTGAATTTAAAATTTTTGAAAATGAAAGTCCGCTGCAAAGCATGTCGCCGGAAGGGAGTTCCACAAGCGAGAAGTGTGAGAAAAGAAACTTTAACATAGAACTTACGGTTACATCTATCCAACTCAACTGTGGATTTGGGTGGGCTGTTTCTAATTAATGTTTTTATTGTTGTCCATGTAATTCTAAGTATATTAGTTCATTTTGTTTCTATTTTCCTTAAAGCTTCCGTATTACTCACATGTTACGTCTATGTCATTCTCAGAATTATTCTATAGAACCATTTTTTGTTTTCTCTTTAACTGTGAAAAAAGTGTCCATCATTCACTGCCATATAAAATAATTGATATTACATAGCAGTTCAGCGCACTTGTCTTTGCTTTTAACGAAATTTTTCCTTTTTCTGCATATTTTGTTTAGCTTTTAGAAGGCATATTTCGCTCTTCCAATGAACCTTCGGATTCTGGGGTCACATTTTCCATCATCAGTAAATACAATTCCCTGATAAGAAATGTTCTCTACTTACTGGGTTTTGACATCTTTAATTCGTTGTTTTCATCTTAGGCCGTCCCTCTTTCTGACAATCAGACATTCGGCATTCTTACAATTGTCTTAGTCTTTTCTTTCGTTTTTTTCTTTCTGAATCCTGTCTGAAAATTCCTACATTTTTCTTTCTAATGATACTGTTAATGTCAGACATGTCAATAAATCGGTATCATTTTTTTAAAATCAAGTTCATCCCAAGCAAGGCAGAAAAGCCACTAAGATACAAGGGGGGTTGCCGCTTGTGGAATAATTTGAAAACAGGGACATTACTAAGGAGTGGTAATAAATAGAAGAGTAATCAGGAGGACAGCAGATAGCGATTGACATTGCATTTAAAGTTTTGAAGATTAAAGTTGACTGGAAAGCATGGAACCGTTAGAGAGTTCCACGAGCGAGAAGTGTGAGTAAAGAATCTCCTAGCATAGAACTTACGGCCACATATATCCAACTCAACTCTATAACGATGAGGGGTGACAGGTGAAATTTCTGGGACACATAACGTGCAAAGGTTACTAGAAAAAATTCACACCCACAGGATGTGGTGTAATAGCAAGCTTGTTTCGCTAGAACAATTAAAACTGAGTTGTGAGTTCGATCCTCACTGGGTTCCCAACATTTTCGACCTTGTGCCATATCTAAAGTCCGCTTAGTAAATCCTTTGGGCACCTCCATGTCGTGTAATGGCTAGCAATATTGTCTCGCTAGAACAATTATGACTGAGTAGTGAGTTCGATCCTCACAATGAGTCCCACACTTCTGACCTTGTGCCATATCTAATATCCGCTTAGAAAATCCTTTGGGTACCTCGACGTGTTGTAATGTCTAAGCAAGATTGTCTCGCTAAAACAATTACGACTGAGTAGTGACTTCGATCCTCATTGAGTGTCCCAAACTTTCGACCGGGTGCCATATTTAAGCTACATATCACCATAACGAGACACTGAGGTAAACGACAAGATTAACCTACAAATTTGAGTGAATGGATTGTAGAACCAGAAAAAAATCAGAAGTTAATTTGTGCAAAAAATGAGAGGAAGGTGTGGAGAGCCATGATCATCCACGTCCTGAATAGACATGGTCCATAAAAGAAGAAACTTTCATGGGTCAAGGTTATATGAGGAAAATGACTAGGGCATGCACGCTTTATAATTTAATCTCTCTTTTATCTTTTTTTTACTCTGTCTCCCCTTATTGGATTTTAGTGCATCGCATTTGATACGCCTTTATATTTTTTAATTTCAAAAGAAAATGTAAACTCCAATTTCACACGCTGATATGGACAAAATCAACCAAAATTCCTGATTGCTAATCAGATGTTAAATAAAGAAAGCAGAAAGAACTGATAAGCAAAAAAGAAAAAAAAATGAAAAAAGCGGGGTTTATTTATATTTTAATTTTTACTTTTGCTTTTTGGTTCATCAACAATGGTTATTCCAATCCAAAAGATCGTCCTTAGTAAGACGTTAAACAACATCCGCCTCCTGGGTAAGACGTTAAACTACGTCCAACAGCAAGGCCTCTGATCAGGAGGTTTTTAGGAATGTGGAACCACCTCTTAATCGCTGGTGTTCCCAGGTCCACTCTGACCCAGGGTGATAGCACCAGTTAGAGTCCCAGCTATGGGCAAATATTACCAGCAATACTTTTTTGAAAAAAAAATATTACTAGCAATACAATTTTGAAGGAAATAAATTACCAGAAACAAATATTTGACAAAACAAAATATTAATAAAAAATAAAAATTTTGTCAGCCTTAAATAACCCCATTGAGGTTGATATGCCGTTAAACTAAATAAACCAAACCAATCTAAACCAAAGAATACATACACTATTCATACGAATCTATCCTCAAAATGTTGTCGGCATTAAATAACCCATTGAGGTTGATATGCCGTAAAACAAAATAAACCAAACCAATCTAAACCAATGCAAAAGATATTTTGGATTGTTATAATTATTTTTTAACGAGTTAATATTGTTTTAACATTTTTCTTGGGAAATAATGATTTTTCTAAATTCTTGCGAAATAACAATTGGAAACAATTTCTTGGGAAATAACAATGACTTTTTACTATTTAACCCACATGTAGGGAAAGAGCTGGCTTCATACTTTTCCCATGGGTATTTGCTCGTAAATGAATATAGCGAACTCGACTGAAATTTAAACTCGGTTCTTCGATTTCTCATTCGAGCCGCTATCCATTACACCAGCCGCACGTCAAAAAGGCAGGGAATGAGGCAGAAATAAACTATATAAGAAAGAGGATTTGTTATAATCGGATGAGACGGAGTTGATGAAAAAAAAAGAAAAAGAAAAATAATACATGCAGAGAAGAAAAGAATAAAGTAAAAATGAATGAAAATGATATAATTAAGACTTAAAGTAAAAGAAGAAAAAGACGTGAAAAGGGAAAGAAAGAGGAAGAGAAAACGAAACTAAGACTAAGTGGATATAATAGTAACTAATAATTGGTAAGGAGGAGAAGGAGGAGGAAGAGGAGGGGAGGAGGAGGAAGAAGAAGAAGAAGTAATAGTGTAATAGCAAATAAAATTGGAAGAAGAAGAAGATGATGAAAAAGAAAAAATGAAGAAGAAGAAGAAAGGAGAAGGAAGAAGGAAGAAGAGAAGAAGAAGAAGAAGATGATGAAACAAGAGCAACATCAAGAAGAAGAATAATTAAAAAAAGAAAAATCGGTGTAATAGCAAATAAGATTGAAAGAAGGTAGATAATAATAAGTAGACGAAGAATAATAATAATAAGAAGAAGGTAGAGAAAGAAGAAGAAAAAGAAGAAGAAGATGAAGGAGAAAAAGAAGAAGATGAAGAAGAAAAAGAAGAAAAGGGTAGAGAAGAAGGTAGAGAAGAAGAAGAAGAAGAAGAAGAAGAAGGTAGAGAAAGAAGAAGGAGGTAGAGAAAGAAGAAGGAGGGTGAGAAGAAGAAGAAGAAGGATGTAGAGAAAGAAGGAGGAGGGGTGAGAAGAAGAAGAAGAAGAAGAAGAAGAAAAAGAAGAAGAAGAAAAAGAAGGAGGAAGAGAAAGAAGAAGGAGGGTGAGAAGAAGAAGAAGAAGAAGAAGAAGAAGAAGAAGAAGAAGAAGGAGGAGGAAGAGAAAGAAGAAGGAGGGTGAGAAGAAGAAGAAGAAGAAAAGAAGGAGGAAGAAGAAAGAAGAAGAAAAGAAGGGGAGAAGAAGAAGAAAAAGAAGAAGAAGAAAAAGAAGAAGAAGAAGAGAAAGAAGAAGGAGGGTGAGAAGAAGAAGAAGAAGAAGAAGAAGAAGAAGAAGAAGAAGGTGGTGATGGCACGGAAACAATACAGAGATGGATAGAAAAGAAGAAGAATGCCGAGTTCATAAGTTTCAAGAATAAGAAAAAGAAACGTCGAAGATTGTTGCGGAAAGAAACACCAGAAAAGAACGTGTGTGGAGTGGAAAATGAATGGTGAAGATCATTTTTGTTCCCATTTTTTTAAAACTAATCCTACTTTGTTACTCTCAGCCATAAATAATGTGGTTCAAGGTGCAGCACTAAGCGTTTTAATTAATGAAAGCGGAAGTAGTTACGATTACACCGGGGCGCATGCGTAGGTAGCGCCGTGTATCAAGTATTACTGCTAATCAGGACGGAAAAAATATAGACCATGTCATAGCGCCTGCCATACCCGAGAAGGCAAGAAAACAAAGAAAGATAGATAGATAGATAGATAGATAGAGAGAGAGAGAGAGAGAGAGAGAGAGAGAGAGACAAAAGGAAAAAGACAGTGGGAAAATGAGACAGAGATAAAAAGATTGATTGTTAGAAAGTTAGAGAGAGAGAGAGGGGGAAATAGAGGTAGAGAAATAAAGATAGAGGGAAATAAAATTGATAAGGAGAGAGAGATACAAAAGATAGTGTGAAAAAGAAACATATATATATATATATATATATATATATATATATATATATATAGAGAGAGAGAGAGAGAGAGATAAGAGATAAGAGAGAAAGTACATGATAGAGAAAATAATATAGATAGAGAAAGATGTAGAGTGTGTGTGTGTGTTAGAGAGAGAGAGAGAGAAAGAGAGAGAGAGATAACGAGAGAGAGTGAAGCAAGCAACGGAAAGAAATTTTCACGGGTAAGAAGTGTGAAAGAAGAAACTATTAGAATAGAACATCCGGTTGCATCTAGCTATATGAACAGTAAAACAATGAAACCTCGAAGTCGATCTCGTACTACGTTTAAAGAGAGAGGGGGGGAGAGAGAGAGGAAACGATGAAGAGAGAGAGAGAGAGAGGAAACGATGAAGAGAGAGAAAGAGGGAGGTAGATAACTCTACAGAAGAAAGGGGGAAAATTAATATTCGCGAAAAGACAAAAGAGGGAAATATTAGTATTGAATGAAAAAGGTAAAAGATTTGAAGCAAACACCAAAAAAAAAAAAAAAAATAAAAAGAAAGAAAAAAAATGCTAGCACCCAATGAATCGAGTTAAGAATATTGAACAAAGAATTTAAGGCCGTTTACAATAAATAAATGAATAAATATTGAAAAACGGAAAGAAAGAAAGTTTGGTAAGGGAATCGTATTTTGCGTGTACTAAGCATCATTGTCATTTTACTTCCTTGTTATTCCCACTGTCTGTACCCAAAACTACCCACTCTTGACTACCCGACCCTCCTCTATCGTCACTTCACCAATTTTCTTCCGACTGCGCCATATCTTTAATCTTCGACTCTCAGAAACGGAAAAAAAATTCTTTCTTTCCCTCCACCATTCTCTTTCTCTCTCCGTCACGCATGCGCATTCATATTAACGAATACATGCACTCAAATCTAAATTGATTGTCAAGTGTTTTTTCTTTCTTTTTACTTTTAAAGAAATAGAAGGCACGCCTATTATTAAAAGTAAAGTAAGAAGAAAAAATGTTTCAAAATCAACAGTTACTGTTGATTATTCATCGATAATCGATGACGATTGATTTCTCTCTCAAGAGGCTAAGAATCAGCGCAAGGACACGAGACAAAAAAAATAATCTTATATTGTTAACGAGCTTTCGTTAGTTTCATATCCTTGTGCCAGACTTATGATTCTTCAATAATTTTCGCCTTAATGTAGTGACGAGGATTACGTATCCCAGCGACCCAAAGAGCTACGCCAACAGGGGTATGACTCCTGACAGGTATAATGAATCCAGGCAAGCAGTAACATAGAGAGTTGGAAAAAGGGGAAGTACAAGATACCGTTTGATGGTATGGTGTTTGCGCTGATTCGACGGAGGAACCTATTTGCAAAAAAAAAAAAAAAAAAAAAAAAACGCCAAAGTTTCTAGGATTTAAAAAAAAAATCATTTCACCCCAAACAAGTTGATAATGCATCTAAGATGCAAGGGGGTTTACTGGGAGTGAAAGAGAAAGAAAAGACGTTAGTGGGCAGAATAAAAGAACAGTTTTCATGAAGACAGACAGTGAATGATGTTGCATTTAACTTTTTGAAGATTGTGAGTGGCAGGGAAGCAAGAAACCGGAACTGAGTTACACAGGAGAGAAGTGCGAGAAACTGTTAAATAGAACATACGGTTGCATCTAGCTATTTCAACAGTAAAACAGTGAGACCTAATTGCCAATCTAGTAGTACGCTTGAATGCAGTCAAGGGACCAAGGGAGATAACACAAAAGAACAATTGCCGTGAAAAATTTTGCAGAAAAGACAGAGGGAGGCCACGCCACGTCGGTGAGAAAGTGACTGAAGTCGAGATGCCAGGTGACGTTCGATTACTTTCCAGTCTCTTCTTTGCATGTTGTCAAGCATCTCAAGATATATAGCCGGGGCACCAAATCAAATATGGCAGCAATATTTAATGCACAGACGAATGGCAGATTTATAAAGGTGCAAAATGGAGGCTGGCGAGTCTGAGTCATGACACAGTGAAGAACTTTTCTGAAAGTGGGCCGAACACTTAATACTTCTGCTATATGTTTGATAAAATACAAAGACGAATCTGCAATGTTATTCGTCTTGTCCTGGCATCTCGGCTTCAGTCACTTTCCCACCACTGTAACGTAGCTTCCCTGTGCCTTTTCTATAAATATTTTCATGGTAATTATTCTGATGAGCTTCCCTCTTCTCTACCTAGATTTTATGAATCTAAGCGTGCAACTAGATTGGCAGCATTTTGCAATTAAAATGGCTAATGTAACCGTAAGTTCTATGCTAAGAGTTTCTTCTATCGCACTTCTCGCTTGTGTAACACTCTTGCAGCTACTTGCTTACCTGTCAACTTTGATCTTCAAAAATTTAAATGCAATGTCAATCGTTATCTTCTGCCTACTTAATTCCTTTTATTCTTTTATTGTGTTCACTCCTTTATAGTATATTTTTATCATATTCTGTAACATTCAGTAACCCCCTTGCGTCGTAGCGGCTTTATTGCCTTGCTTGGGATAAATATTTATTTATATTGGCCACAATCTTACAATAATCGTATATTGTTAACGAGATTTCGTTAGTTTCATATCCTTGTGCCAGACTTATGATTCTTCAATAATGTAACTCTAATTAAAAGAGAAAATAATTCACTTGGTGGCCTCCATCCTTTCAGCTTAGGGAAAGGAAAAAGTCACACGTGGCAAGATAAAGGGGTTATTCTCTTTCAGGAATACGCCGGGTGCTCAGAGGGTTGTGGACAGGGGTATTGTCGTGGAGAAGCAACCACGATATGCCCTGCCACAAAAGCATGTGAAAAAATGCAATGGTTGCAGAGAGTTATGATTACAATTATATACTCCAAAGATATCTGGGGCACATCGAGGCGGTGTAATGGTTAACAAGTTTGTCTCGCTAGAACAATTACGACTGATTAGCGAGTTCGATACTTTCGGTCTTGTGCCGTATCTACGCCACGCTTGGAAAATCCCTGGACTCCCAAGATATCATGTTCCGTTACTTATCAGACAGACGTCGTATATATCGTGTATGTATACACACGCACACACATAAAGAGACACATACACACATATATATATATATATATATATATATATATATATATATATATATATATATATATACACGTGTGTATGTGTTTGTGTGGTCTGATGAACCAGGTAAAAATTATATACCTGGGAAAAAAAAATTATAACCAATGGACCCTTAACGTTTTCTATTTAAATTGAATTAATAATTTCTCAGATTTGACATTGAGCTCTCTGGATTGCATCCTCCTTGGGATTGTCCATACGGATTACCAAACTTTATATATATATATATATATATATATATATATATATATATATATATATAGATAGATAGATAGATACACCTAGTGAGCCAGACAGGGAAAGTTTGAAAGTTTGTTAGTTAGTTGTTACTTGTTACTCATGTATCAGGGTTTTTTCTTTGGGCTTCAGACCTGTATCTGTGCGATTTTTTTGTCGGCGGAAGTTCATGTTTGTAGCTCTTTCTTTTTTTTAAACCTTTTTTTCCCTCGAGATTGATTTGATTAGCAAATCAAAAATTCGAGGGTTTTTCGAAACAAGTCTAGTTATCTATATATATATATATATATATATATATATATATATATATATATATATATATATATATATATATATAGTTATGTGTGCATATGTGTATGTGTGTGTGCGCTCTCCGAGTAATACAGAGATTTAGCAGGAGAGAATATGAATACAATTGGTGAAAAAAAATAAAGTGGTGAGAGGAGAACGTAAAATAATAATAAAGATAGAGCAATAGACAGGCAGACAGATAAGAACAGACTTAGATAGATAGATAGATAGATAGATAGATAGATAGATAGATTACTTCTTTTTTAATGTGAGATTCATTCGAGGGGACCACTTGAGGTAGAGGCTTACAGAGTAAAAGACATAATTTATGTGGGTTTGTGGGTAAGATCGCAGTTTGAATAGCTAAAGATTATAGTGATAGATAGATAGATAGATAGATAGATAGATAGATAGATAGATAGACAGGCAGGCAGAGAGATAATGAACAGACTGAAATAGATAGATAGATAGATAGATATAGATAGATAGATAGATAGATAGATAAAACAATAAAACGTGAAATGGAGAAAGATATCTGTTTTGAATCCGAGAAAGAAGAACGAATAGGAGAGGGGGCAGATTAAATAGATAATGAAAGTGACAGGACGATCAAAGGGAAGGAGGGTACACATGAAAAGAACATTTATAAAAATGAACAAGCGATAACAATCGACTGACTTAATGACTGACAAATATGCAAAATAATCAGTAAAATATTGGTTAAGATGTCCCTTCGCTGATCGAGAGAGTTTGATACAACAAAAAAGAACAATTTTAACTGAATGTCGTTGGTGTTGTGAGGTCTGTAATAAGTAATTTAAAAAGTCCGCTTCTACTTAAAAGAGATCACTCCCCTAGTGTGTTTTCTCTTTTTCTTTCTAGCTTTTTTGAAAAGTAAATATCTATGCAAATGATATCATTGTTGATGGATACAGTTCTAACAGCGATGATGATCGAGGGATTGTAGCCGACCATTCCTCTGATCTCAAATCCAAGAGACTAGTGTTTTATAGTCATCATTCACACTCCGGGTTTGTCACGATGAATGGATGAACTAATCTGTCACGATGAACGGTTTAAATCTCAATGAGAATTTGAATGTGTGTTGGGTCTCAAGTTCTATCCAGACCACAAATGGAATTCAATTATACAATCCATTGCTAAAGATGCCGAAAATATGATCACATCATAATACTATCTTTGCCAACCACTGATTTAACGTCCGTTTAGACAAGCTTGTAGAGTAGGTTATTCGCTGTTTTCTTCTTTCCTTGTCTTCCCTACGTACTGTGAGTGTCAAATTCTCCAAGCCCACCTTCCTTATTATATATCCTACAGATTTCAACCGTCTTTTACTTATTCAGATAATTATTACAATTCGAAATGTTTTGAACATTAAATAGCCTCCGAACTCTACAAAACAAATCAATCGATCAATCTTCGTAATTTCATAATTCCATGATATTTTTTTTAATCATTTCACCTAAAGCAAGGCAATAAAGCCACTACGGCGCAAGGGGGTTACTGAATATTATAGAATATGAGAAAAAACATCTATTAAACAAATCATTAAACTGTAACCCATTGTTGGCATCTTGTAACCTAGGGAAGGTTACTAAATAGAATAATCAAACAAAGGTTGGTAATGAACGATAATACTTAGGATAAGAACAACGCATATAAGATTCGCCAGCGGCGCGTTGAAGTAGTCAACTGCTAGAAGTGAATTTCACAATGAATCTGCAACTGTAGGATGCCTATCAACCGCCCCACGCGGTCAGATGTAGCACAAGGCCGAAATTAATGTGGGTTATCCGAGTCTCGTATGTTCGGCAAAAAAATCCCCGTACACTCCGTATAAAATGGGGTCAAGTAGCTGTTTCCCGAGACGAGACTCTGCCCATCGACATAGCCTCGTCTGGGAATCCTCTCTGCCCAGCGGCAGAGAATTTGACTAGCATAGCTGGAGACGAATCTCCACCTGCAGACCCACATACAGTATTTACTACTGTATTTATGTGAATGGGGACATACCCATTATCGTCCGTAGGTTTGCTATAACAGGCCATAAGGGCAGGAACTTTGCAGTCATCAATTTACAATTCCGACGGAGCCCAAAAAACGTCTACGTGGCCTTGTGGGTGATGAATTAAATTCCAGCCTACAACCCCTTTCCCATAGATGAAATGTTGCAAGTCCCTTACTACTCTATCGCTATTTTATTAGGTTGGTGCAAAAATAATGACGTAATAATGTCGTTTTTTACGTTAAAAAATACGTCAAAAAACGACATTATTGCGCCTCGGATTACGGCCATATCACGTTGAAACGTCGGTTCTCGTCAGATCGACCGAATTATGCAAAGCCGAGCCTGGTCGGTAGCTTGATGTGGAACCGTTTGAAAATACCATCTTGCATAACACGGCTCGGAATGAGAAATCGGAGTGTCGATTTCGATTCTCAGTCGAGTTTGTTATATCCACATACGCTCAATAAACCTTGGGAAAGGTACGAATTCATCTTTTCTTCCCCCACCCCCTGCACGGGGTTAATTAGCAGGACAGGCTGGGTCCTATAGCCTTCCTAGCAACCGGTATACAGCAGAAAGTAACGACGGCATCCTACGGTCATTCTTCAGTCAAGTCAAACATGAATCGAAAAGATAATCCAAGCATCAAACATGGCGTCTAAGAAAAGAATAAATCAACGAGGTCGTAGGAAGCAATGGCCGAAACGTTGCAGTAATAGCAGCAAAGATGGGAATATTAGTCTGAGCGTAAATAATGTAATATTTGGCACATTGAACATTAGACGGGTTATAATGTATTTTACAAGTACAAAAATAGTTTTTTTTTGTGACTTTGAAATCAACACGATTTCATGATTTAATTCGCGAAGGCTTTAATTTTAAAATATGGCCGAATAGGATATGTTGTGCATGAAATATTAACTTTATAATTTAATTTTTTTAAGCATTCAACCCCAAACAAGGCGGGAAGCCACTAACACGCAAAGGGTTTCAGAGTAGGAGCGAGAATTGCCTCGCGATACCCCCTAAAAATATGGCTTTGTGTCAAATTTGGCATCATCGAACAAAATAACTTTTATTTTTTGACTGAGGCTAACATGTCTTAATTGTGATTTTCAAGGGAAAGAATGATTTCCTGTACACAAAAAAAGCACTAATTATGTGGCGGCTACACTGGAATCACGCAGAGAATTGTCCTGTGAAACCTGTTAACGCTGAGAATGGTGTTTGAGATGTGTGGGCCGTTACAAACAAGAAGAAAAGCAGGAAGAAGAAGTACAAAGAATAAAGTCTTTAATGCCATGAAGACTGTAGATGAATAGAGATGAAGAAAGAAAATAAGGAAATGCGAGAAGGAAGGAGATGTGAAAGAGTGTAAGAGAGTTATGAGATGTAAATGAAAGGGGAAATGAAAGGAGAGTGAAGGAGATTAAGAAATAAGAAAGGAAGATGGACTTAAGCGAGAGAAAAGGAAAGAAAGAAAGCAGTGATTGAAAGAATGGCTAGAATAGAAAAAAAGATTGGAGGAAGAATATAGGGGAAAAAGAAAAGGAAGTAAGAAGAGAAATAGTGCAAATAGTACACACTTAATCTGTAGGGTATATAATAAGGAAGGCAGGCTTGGAGTATTTGACACTCACAGTACGTATTGAAGACAAGGAAAGAAGGAAACAACCCTACAATTCGAAATAGGAATTCGTTCTACTGATTCCATTTTCAACGTTGATAACCATCAAACCACCCACAATTCTACATGTTCGAATAGTCAACATCAGGAATAATTCCAAATGTTGTATGTTTTCGATCCAAGACATGGAAATCTCAGAAGATTGTGCGCAAACCCAGATGAACAACAACGCTTTAAAGAGAACTAAAAATAAAGTGAAATATGGAACTAACGGTTGAACCCATGACCATAAGAGTTTTTTTAACCAATTCGTCCCAAGCAAGGCGATAATGTCATTAAGATGGAAGGGACTACAGAGAAACGAAAGAGAGTGAGACTTTAGAAGGAACCAAAAACCCAATCCTAAACAGGTTAAAAGGGAAAAAGCTTAACTCCTTTTCAAAAGACCAGGGAGGTCAGTGAATCAGGCTATAGGCGAATCTATCTACTCCTATTTAAGAGTACTGAGAATGGTTTCAAAATAAATTAGAAACTCACTGGGGACATTAAATATCCATAATAGTAAAACCATCCGGATCAAGGCATGACTAAAATCACTTGGAATATTTCAGAATCCCAGAATTTTAAAGAGACTTGCTGCCATTTGAGCTTGATACGACTTCGAATAATAATAATAATAATAATAATAATAATAAGCAACTTCTACGGGAAGAAAACTGAAAGAAACTGGTATGAACACCACCCAGATCCGATTACGGAGATAGGACCTGTTACAATTCTATGGGATTACACAATACACACTGACAGAACAATCAAAGCCAACCGCCCAGATATTGTTATTAAAGACCACAAACAAAAACGGAGCCTCCTTATTGATATGGCAGTCCCAGCTGACTGTAATGTATCTTTGAAGATATTCAAAAAGTTGTCAAAGTACAAGGACCTTGAAATAGAAATCTCGAAAATGTGGCATATGGGAACATCAACAAACCCTGTTGTAGTTGGAGCCCTAGGACTGGTTGGAAAAGATTGCAGTAGACTAATTGAAGGGATTCCTGGAAGTCCATGCCTCAAGGAGATACAAAAAAATGTTCTGACAAGTACAGCCCACACCTTACAAAGGGCTTTATCTATGTAATTTTTTTTTTTTTTTTGTCAGTGGAATGTGTCATGACGCCATTTCTAACCTTAGGTCCCTGGGCGGGACCCGGAAAGAAATGTGTAAACGCCAGAAATCAAAGAAAATAAAAATAATAATAATAATAAATTTTCAATTCCAATAATAATAAAAAGTTTTGTTTATGCTTCGGGCAGAAAAACACAAAACTTACGGACGCCTTGTTTATTGTCTGCTGGGCAAATGTCAGATTGATGAGTTCTTGTTTAAAAATAAAGCTAAAAAGTGTTCTGTACTAATCGTATCTATGTACGAATAGGTTTATGAGTGCTTATGTATGTTATATAATTGGCAACTGAATGGAGCAGTAACCAAATTAAGGGGATGTATAGTCTAATTTCCACGGAGCCAGTTATATATTGGGGACGTTAAAATCAAAGTAGGTACAAAAATTCTGCTTGATTTTGTAACAAACGACCAAAAATATAACAAAGAAATTCGAAAAAAAAAAAAGACGTGTTCTAAAAATTAAGCAAAGTATTCATAGGGG